TTCCCTTCTTTTTCCATTTCTGAAGAGATTACCCATTTGAAATTTTACTTAAAAAACAATAGAAAGCGCGAGAAAATAAAACAAAGTGGAAGAAAATTTCCCCAACATGTAGAGAACTGAAAACTGACCTCAAGATCTAAGGAGGTAACTGTTGAAATGAATGCAATTTATCTCAGGCAACCCTGCATTTTCAGAGGATTTACGATGACCCAAAAACGAATTAGATCGACAACAATATCAGAGTAACCCTCTGCTCTGTTTGGTTGTTGAGAAAGTATAAAAGAAAAGAAAGCAAGGAACCCAATTGGATTTAGGACCAGTTAATCCTAATTCCATTGAATCTCTGGGTTTGTTTCTCTTTTTCTTCGGAAGCAAACAGACCATGAAAGTTAAACAATAAAAAAGAGAGGAGAGATTTGAAGGAGAAAACTTAATTACATAGTGATAGTAGTAGAGCAGTAGGCCAGCAGCAGAGACAGAAAAGAGTGAAGAAATTTGCCCTCAAATTTTCTCCAGAATAACGAGAAGAAGAAAAACTGAACACGAGTGTATGTTGGTTTTTGTCTCTGAAAGGCCAAGAAATAAAAAATCGGCGCTTTCTTTGTTATCTCCACACTCAAAGCTCTGAGAGTCTCTCAGTTTCTCTCTCTCTCTCTCTCTCTCTCTCAGAGGAGCCTCTGTTTCTTTTGGTTTCACCCTACTTTATTTTGATTTGTTTTTGTTGCCCCTCCAATCACTCCAGAGTATAGTATAGTCTCTTTTCTCCATTAGTTGTTATACACTTACCTATACATCTATAAAACGATCCTAACCGTCGGATAGCAAATGGAGGGTCAGATGGGTTTCCTTCCAAGTGTCTGAGCTTTTTTATTTTATTGTATTTTACCCTATGATCCTTTATTTTATTATGCTAACAAAATAATAAATAGGATAGGTAGGGGGCTGAAGCTCTTGGCCTTGAGAGACTCTTTCATGAACAGGAATAACAGTTTCTGCTATTCCCGAC